CTACAAACAACATAATAAATATTTTATAAAAATAAATAATAATATTATTCTCTCCAACTCCAAAGAGTAAAGGATCCATTCGGCAATTCGCATCTAACTCCTCACTTCTCATCCCCAATTCAGATCTCTGCCGAATTTGATTCCGATTTCTGATTTCCAATTTCACAGACCACAAATTAAGCAACGAATCTCTTAAATCTTCATCTCCCATGGCTACCTTGCATAAATTCAAGCTCTTAGCCTCCCAATGTGCCGTCACTGGAAGCCCTACCCGAAGTCCCACCGCTAGCCCCGTCATTCACCTTCGCCGCCGCCGCCGCAAAACCCTAAGAATGCTCCTCAATCGTACCGATCGCCGTCGATTTCCTTATCAAGACGCCTCCGCCGATCCTCAAGATGTCGACGACGATGACGACGATGAGAATATGATTCCAGAGAAGAACGATAAGGAGGTACGAGCCAGGCGGAAACTCAAGGATTTGTTCGTCTCGTCGCCGCCGCTCGAGGATACGGTTTCCGATAGGCGAATCGAAGAACAGGAGGGACTGTTAACGGCGATTAACACCAGCGCTGCCGGAATCGGTACGACCTCCACCACTCGCCGGTCCCTGAGACCGATATCGACTACATTTCGATACAGATTCCTCCGGCGAGCTTGGCGGCCTGTGCTCGTCGCGATTCCGGAGTAGAAGATGCTCCTCTCTGGTAAAATCTGTACGAAGAAATTCCATATTTTTGCCTCAATTATTTTTTCTTTTTTGATTTTTCATTACAAATTTTTCCTAAAAATTCCGCGTCGAGCAGTAGAAGGGAAGCAATGTAAATAAAATAAAAATAAAAATAAAAAAAACGATTGATGTAAATTACAATTAGAAGTTATTATTAAGACTAAGACTAAGTAATTAATCAAGTATTGGCGGTAGCGCCGTATTTTGATAACGCGCGCCGAAGGTGCGTCAGGGACGTTGATAAACATTTTAACGATTAAATCAAAAGAAAACCGTTACCGTTAAATATTAAATGAAGGTAGCAATGATGGAATTAATGGAAAAGGTTTGTTTTGGGAATTTTATAATTGCATTATCTTAAACCAAATGATTAGTTTTAGTGTAATAAACAAATAGGCTCAAGATTCTGCAATCCATTTTCAGTACCATATGGCTCCGACATCTCTCACATCCTCTGTAACCTTGTCTTACTGCTTAAAAGTGAACGATTTCCATAGACTAACACGAATTTAAAGTTACCTTACATAAAATTGCTTAAAACAAAACATGTTCAAAAATTTGTAAGCTACTAAAACCTTGAAGTTTGTAAGTTATGAAAAAAAATAATATATATTTTATTCGGATGTCGTCTTGATTCATTTATATATCTCTCATTTACTCTTATCTTATCCTACATTGAATAGATGGTTTCATTTTTTTTTAACTTTAAATATATTATTAAAAAAAATATTTTTTTTAAAAACAAAATATAAAATTTAGAGTAATTTTAATAATTCCTAATGATTTGGACTAAATAAAAAATATATATATATTAATACATAAAAGTCGAATATTTTAACGACCAAGAGAGAACAGAAGACATTCAAGAAAAGAACGCGGGCCGTTGTCGCTCGTCGGAAGAGAGAACAAAAATCGGAACTGCGATCAAATTATAATTTCGAAGGAGCGACGGTAGAGTGAAAATGGCGGATGAGGAAGGCGAGGGGATAGCCCCAGAAATTGCGTCAACTCCGTCGCTACAACTTAATTTTAAACCTAAACCTAAAGGAGTCACTCATGAGCAGCTCTCTAAATTTCAGGTTTTTTCCCCCCTTGATTTCCTACAGATTATGACTTCATTGTTCTTTTCCTATTGAATTTACTTCTTCATTTGCTGCCTTTTGGTTTTTAATACTTCACTTCGCTTCTTTTGCTTCCGATAATTTTCTGTGCAACTAACGAGAATATTCTAGTTTTCAATCTTAAGTCTTTCTCTTAAATTCATTGATTTAGAAAAATTTGTTGTTGCATTCGTAGGGTTAGAAAACCGCTCTTCCCATAGAAAGTTGTAATTTCTCTGGAATTATCTCCCTAAATAACATTCATTTTCTATTTGGTATTTTTCTTCTTAGAAACCTACAAACTGTTGATAGAATGCATGATCTGATGTGTTCTCTTCATCTTAATTCAAGGATGTGGTTTATGTAAAATGGGTGGTTGAAGGCATTGGTTATTTTGTTAATCCATTATTCTTGCAGTTGAATTATTTGGGACAATTTCCTTCGTGCTTCCGACCCTCTTTGAATATCTCTGTTGGCAATTGAGTTTGCTAGCTTTCGGCCCCATTTCTATGGGAGGAGCTGAACTTAATTTGGTTTGTACCATCAGGCATATAAGATAGGAGTTAAGATCATTGTTTTAAGTGGCTTTTGTCACCAAAGAATTTTGAAACTACCTTTTTTCAAAAAAGAAATAATTGTTGCCAAGAGGAGAGAAGCTTCTTGGAAATGGAATTATGAAAGATACTTCTATACATATGGTAGTTGGAATAGTAATGGTAAATATTATTAGGCTAGATTATTAGTTGAATAGAAACGGTAGTTTTCACTTGACTGGAGTTCCGGAATCAGAATTCAGTTAAAGTTTTCTCTGTCAATATTTGTATGGCCCTGTAAAAAATGAATATCAATTTCTCAGTGACGTTTTAATGGCTGCTCTCTTTGGTTACTGTTTTTCTTTATTGATATGTTCTTGCCCCTAAATATACTCTCTCTATTCATATTCATTACTCCTTATATTATCAATTTAATACGACAGGAGCTTCACAGGAGACGACTTCAGATAAAATCAAGGTCAAAGATAAGAAAGAATACGAAAGGTTTTTCTAATTTATTGCATTGTAATGTAGTTTCTTGTTGAAAGCATATGTTTTAATATTGAAGTCCTTGTTGGAAAAATAGGTTTGACTGGAAAATCTCAAATCAAGGATCTGAATACCATTGATGAAGTTAATGAAGATGAACACTCGAGACTTTCCAGTTCTGATATCGACTTTGGGGAAAAGAACTCCCATGTTCAGCGAGACAACACGAAAACTACACTTCCATCCAAAAAGCTACACAAGTTACATTGGGGGTATGAGATGTTATGATAAATATCAACATGCTTGCTATTGAATATCTAAATATATAATATATATACCCATATATGAGTGTGTCTGTAGTATCCAAACTGATGGGAACCTAGCTGAACACTCGATTGGGGAGGAGAACGAAACATGCTTTTTAAGGATGTAGAAAGCTCTTCCTAGTAGACGCGTTTTAAAAATTTTGAGGGAAAGCCCAAAGAGGACAATATCGGTTGGCTAGCGGTGAGCTTGAGCTGTTACGGGGGGAATGTTTTTTAGCTATATGGTAGGAAATATGTCCCATCTCCCCACCTCTTGGGCGTGCAATTTGTGAACTGGCTGCTAATGAAATTTTGTTATTTTTTTGTTATTCAAAGAGAAGAGAATTGGGATGGAAAATAGAGATGACTTTATCTGTGGTCTCGTATGCCTTCTATATATTTCTCTGATGTTTATACATCGCCAGGCTTGACACCAAGGAACCATGGGAAAGGAAGGCAAACATGTAAAGAAAATGTATACCCGTAGATGAAGTGCAGCTGCCAAGTGCCTATGGAACTTGAAGGATAGGGGGGACTCAAAAGGTACTTTTCTGAACTATCCAAGTCTGATTTTAGGTAGCATAGCTTTTTTGTGTTAAAATGGTGATGAGCTTGACATGTTGAATGCACAATTGTTGGTTTGATTTGACATACCACAATGGATAGAATGACAAAAGGAAATGAGGAACTAAACAAGATGAAATAAAATGGTACCGACAACATATTGATTTGGTCATTTCTCACAAATTTACCCTTTCTTAAGCTTTGAATACCTGAAACCCAACAAAAAAGAATAAGAGAAGAAGGTATGTTCCACTTCCAGTAAACGCGGCGTCATTGGGTTTATGTGTTACCTTAATATGAGGCATAAATAATTACAAGACACTTGAATGTTTCTTGTTAAAGTAAGTTGGGAGATTCTATTTTCATCCCTTTTATGTCACTTATGACCACTTTTTTGTTAACTCTTTTCTCATTCTAGATGATTTCAAACTTTTAGTCATAAATATAAAAATCTAACATCAAAAAACAGTAAGAAATCCCCCGATGAATAACTTTTCATCGTTTCTCGAGGGAGCCCCATTGGTAAGTCTGAAAAAGCTTCTTCCTCACGTTATAAAATTTTAAGTCATAAATATATGTCCATAACACCCTAAAACTTGCAATAATCTCATATCCGATGATGGGAAGCCCGGTGAAAAAATTGGGTTACAGTCAATATTTTTCAATTTTTTAGTTATATTATTGGTCTCTTTTTTTTTCTTCTTTTTGTCGTTTGACAAATTTGAAAAAAATCTCATCTCTCACTGTAATTTCTCAATATATGGACTAAATATTGTAATAAGCATAAAATTCAAATGATTTTAAAATTTTGTCACAAGGTTTCTATCCATTTTAGTTATTAACCTTCAAATGTTTCAAATGTTTAATCTTTGATTCATATACTGCTTAAATTAAATATTCTATTAGCATTTATTTTATAATTTTTTAAAATATGATCACATTATGTATTTTCTTACCTGAAAATTCTTGTTCTTTAACTAATTTCAATAAATAAATAAGAAAAAACTTTAGAACCAACCATTTTTAATCGTTATTGAGAATTCAACCACTACCAAAATACCATTTTAACCTAAATTTTATTTTGATTAATCACTTCCTATATTTATAGGGATTTGATTTTAAAACTTTTAAATATTTGAAAAATATATTAGTTATTTCTTCATTACTTTTCCAGCAATTTTTAACCCAAAGAAGAAAAAAAAAAGTTCAAATTTCAGTAATTGTTTGAACATAGTTTTATCTTTTACGTAATATATGAAAGTAAATGAAAAATGAAAAAGATGGGAATAATGGATCCACTCTACCGTCATTGATATTCCTTCAAAGCCAAAATACAAACACTTCGGACACAAAAAGAAGACTGTTTCTGATTTGTATGTGAGAGAGAGAGAGAAATGACAGAACCCAAATTCAGATTTATGTGTCTGAGTGTTAGAAAATACCAAAAGCAGAAAGTGAAGAGCAATGGACAAACAATGAAAAGCAGCAATGCCTAACCTGTCCTTTCTTATTCCGAAGCCTGCATGTGCCTTCAATTATGCCACCGCTCTCTCGTCTCCTACCATTCATTATCCATCTTCATCTTCTTCATCCCTCTTCCTATCTAAATAATTCAACTCCATCACCCCATTTTTTTAGTGTTCAACATGGGTTTTGCTTTGACTTTGTTCGATTAGCAACAGAGTTTCTGTTTAACGTCAATCAATCAGTGGATCACACCAGAAAAGCATCTCTTCCAACTTTTATTTTATGTTTTAAGAATCATATTCGAAATTGAAAGCGGGGGGAGGAAAGGAGACAGAGAATTACAGATTCCACAAGCTTTTTGCAAATCAGACAATCAGATGGTTATCCAGAGAAAAAAAACAAAGAAAAATGAAACGGAATCATTCACTTTTTCTTGCTTCTATCCTTGCCAGAGGAGAATATTGAGCCCAAACCGAAAAGATTCCCCGAATGAACATTTAGAATAGGGTTTACTTGGACTACATTACTGTACGAACCATGTACCTTCTTCAATGGAGGTTTCTGATATCCCATCGAAGACGAACAGTGTTGTGAATTTTTTGGCGCGTTTCTATGAGAGCTCTGTTTTTGAGTTACACCGTCCTTTGATAATGTCGTTCGCTTAATATTCGGCGCAGAGCCGGTGGAGTTGCTTCGTGATAGAAGCGGTAATGGACATAAGCTGCGAGTGTAACCAGAGCCACAGCTACTGCTTCTCTTGAAACCCCAAAATGATTTGAAATTCGAGCTTTGCTTCTCTTCAGAATCACTACTGACGGCCTCCTTGATTTCCTTGGGCGAGCGATCTTTCTTCAAACATTTCTCCGCATTAGAATCGAGCGATTTCGCTCGCGTCAATGGAGGAGAATGATTAGAGAAAGAAGACTGATCGACACGCAGATGTGGCTCTTCCGACTTCTTCTTGATTTCGAGGGGCAAAATTTTTCCGTGAGAGAAAATCTCATCCGCGGAGGAGGATTCCTGATGGGAGCATTCACGAATGCAAAAATCGAAATCGAAGCTGGAATTGAAAGCAGAGGAACTGGATCGAGAATTAGAGCGCTGTTCAACGGGAATGGCTTCGGCATGGATGAAATCGTGAGAGAATGAAATTCTAGGGCTCAATGCGACAACGGGAATGTCAGGAGAAACGGCCTCGATCGCCATGGAAATGGGAATGGAGCATAAACGAAGAATGCGTGAAGAAGAAGAAGAAGAATAAATGGATTGTGAGAAAGAGGAGAGAAGATGAAGAGCATTGAAAACCGACCAATTTAAGAGATTCAGAGGGCTGATTGGAGTTTAATAAGAACCAGCCATGGAGGAATTTCTCCAACCAAGAAATTAAATGGAAAATATCATTTTCAAATAAATAAATAATTTAACATAAAGTATAAGATCTAAAGTTGACCTATGTCCATGATGCGATGTATTTTTTCTTAGAAAAGGGTTTCCGGAAGTCACTTGATAGAGTTAAATCATGGTTAAATCATGGTTAGTGGGTTGGATGATGCTCTATTCAATTATATTTACTACTCAATCATATGTTTCAAAATATTAATATCACATCCACCATATATATATTTTTAATTAAAGTTACGTTAGATATCAACTTGGTTGTTTGAAATTAATGTGATATAATTGAATTGGAAAGTCGTGAGTTTCATTTTTTTTCAAGTATTTGTCGATTCTTAGTATAATCTCTAATAATTGATACATATCTATATAACCTCGGTTAGATTAAATATATGTGTGAGAATGGACCCTTCAACAGCACAAATGCTTTTTTTTTTCTTTTTCTTTTTCTTTTAATGTTACCACTTTTTGTCCCAAAGCCACCCCTTTAATTTCACACCATATTTTCCTTTCAAACCAAAACAATTGAAAATAATTGAAAATAATTGTGACTTTTCATACATTATTAAAAGATGATAATAATAATAAATAAATAAATAACGAGTATTTGTTTGAAAACGAAATATCAGAAATTCCGTCGGATAAAGCATATGGCGACAGCTATGTCGGCACCCAAAAACACACTTTCGGGCAATGGAGAAATTTCCGGTACGCCTTAACGTTCACTCTCCGATTTATTTTTATAAATAATTATTTACATTATATTTAATATTACTGTACCGTTTCTACGATTGAGTCACTGAAAATGAAAATGGAGGTGTACATTATTGATATATGTGGTTTCTTGATCATTCTATCGCTAGGAGCACTCTCATTCGAACGTAGCCTCTTTCATTTGGGTGTTGGGTGTCACAATTAATCCTAAAGGGCATTGAAATGATATGAAGGCCCCAAACACATCTTTTTTAATTAAAGCCAAATAATGGACCAAAGGAAAAAGAAATTGGTGAGGAGGCGTGAACTTCAAACAACTTCCATCCCCCTCTCTCTCTCTCTCTTCCTATTTTCTTTTTAATTAAATATTTTTGGTTTCGTGGGCCTAAAAACACAAGCCCAAATCTAATGGGCCTAAAGTATGGCTTGGTTTTGAATCCCAGCCCAACAGGTTTTTTATTTTTCTTAAAAAATAAAAAATAAATAGAAAAGAATAATTCGTTTTTGAATTGGCCGCGTCTTGGTGGTTAAACCACTCGGGATTATACAGTAGACAAGGACAAGGATTCTCCAAAAACTCAATTGACCAATCACAGAGTCTCCTTCGTCGCCCAGCCAACTTCCAATTTTCAAAACTTTCTTCATCCTTTCCAAATATCTTCCGAATTCTCTCGCCATTGGTTCTTTGACGTTTCAACGATCTTCCTGAACAAAGTGGACGCCAACGTTCCTCCTCCTACGGTTTTGAATCGTTTCTTTGCCTGAGGAGCTCCAGCATTTGTCCTGTGGAAGAGCTTCTGCTTGATCGAGCAAAAGGCTGAGCGATAGAATGAGCATGCCGAATTGGGAGCTGAGGAATTGCTGTCAGCATGAGCAGGTTGTGTTCTTAGTTACGCTTGGGGTGTTCACCGTTGTGATCCTCGCGGTAAGCTTCGTTGCGTTTTATCTTTTTTTTTTTTTCAGCTTGTTTTTCAGTTCTAGGTTTCTATGATTCTTGGAATTAGGATAGGGCTTTAAGTTCGTAATTTATGAAATTCATGATGCCTCTTCCCTGTTATCTAATCGCCCTTGAAATTGCGTTTTCCTCTGATCTAAAATCTATTTGAACTTAGATATTTCTTGTTACTCTTCTCAAACAGCATGGTACAATTATGTAGGTAGTCAAGTATTTGATGAGTTAAAATTGGGGATGGAAAGAGAAAGAGAGAGATCTTAGGTTCTCATTATATCTCTATCGGTATTCTCAGCTTTCCCAGCCGACTGCGGACAGATCGGAACAATAGACTTGAACTCAGTGCAGAGATTAAATTTCCGAAGAACTCAATTTCCTTCATGTTTTACTATAGTCGTTGTTTGACATATTCCAACCTCTCAACTTCTTTTTCTTTAAATGAAAATAGATATCTGACTTAGTTGAAGAGCATAGGAACTTGATCGAGCTTCCTATGAGTGTAGGCTGTGTCTAAAAATTGTAGCTTTTGGATTCTGATAAGAAAAAGTAGAGAGGTTTTCTTGAATATACTTGAGGTGGAATCCTTATTGTGCATCAGCTGAGCAAGCTTTACTTTTGCCTTTATTATTTGCTCAACGAATATTGATTTTGCCCCTTTGAATGTGACAGCTATGGAGGACATTTATAATCACTCCTTTCAAGCTCATTACTGTTTTCCTGCACGAAGCAAGCCATGCAATAGCTTGCAAGCTTACCTGTGGTGAGGTATAAGTTTTTGCTTCACTTCTATTTTCTGTGGTAATTGAAAAGAACATCTTGCTTTTGCATTATTATATTTTCTTATATTATAAGCAATATCATATTTCTACTCCAATTGAAGGTTTTTCCAACTGTGTACGCCTTTACGGTAATACTTGAAGGACATATTGAAAAAAACACGATGTTCTCTGCATATTTCTTATTGAGTTTACCGATGTGGTTTATTTTTTAGCTTCCTTACGAAGGCTGCTGAAATTAGGGTTGCTGTAAAAACTACATTTTCTGGACCATTTCGAAACCCAGTCCTAGATTTATTTGTTAGATCTCTTCCCTGTAATCTCAAGTGAAAATTATGCTGCAAGCCTACAATCTTCCCTCCCCCCTCCTTGTAGAATATATATATATATATATATATATATGTTTTGTGATAGTAAGACTGGGTATGTTAATGATCTAAGATCCATAAGCTATCCACGAGAGTTGTGTTTTATCAATCAATCTTTAAAAGTAGTTTATTAACGGACATTACTCTCTTTTGTAACATTATACGTGCTTCGTGTGTTAGTTATTCCCATCGAATTGTGTTTAGTTTCACTATATGGAAGGCTAAGGGTAAGACTCATAAAGATATGTATCTGGTGTTCTTTATCAATAAGATTCTTCTGCCGCCTCTAATGTACGATATGAGTCTGTTATCAGGACCACTGGGATATCCGTGCATTCCAATCTTTTTTATCTGCTTTTTCAGTCTTTTCTTGCGTCTGTAATTTTTTGGGTTTGAGGATCTTTGATGTCATTTTCTTACCTTAAATACAAGGCCTCTTCACTGCTAAATTGTGTTCTATGCTCATTGCTATGCCAAAGTTATCTATTCTATCAATTACCCTCGTGTAGATATCTTGGTAGTTCATGAAACCCTTAAATAGTGATCTGCTGCTGTTAAGTTCAATTTTTGAAGTCATTATGCTATCCCTTTAAAGATATCCATGGCTTGGGATTAATGCACCCAGAGGAAGCCGATATAACCAGTTTATATGCAGGTGGAAGGAATCCAGGTTCATGCAAATGAGGGAGGGTTAACTCAAACACGTGGTGGTGCATATTGGCTGATTTTGCCTGCAGGATGTAATTCTCTTATTTTACTTCTTTTCTATTCCTTGATAGGCAATAAGATTATCAGCGGATCGTGTTTTAAAATTGAGTGTGCATGCATTCATCCATTAATTCAGCATGTAACGTCGTATCAAAATTTTAATTTGTAACTATGGGAACTAGTAAGTGTTATCATATACGCTTTTCCATAGTTCGCGTTATTTTTTCCAGTGTAAAATTTATTTTTTGTGGAACCACTAATTTTTTTTTATTTATTATTCTTTCACTTCAACCTAGATCTTGGATCATCATTTTGGGGCATGGCTATGATTCTCGCATCAACCAATCTTCTCACTGCAAGAATTGCAGCGGGTTGTTTGGGTTTAGCCCTTCTTGTTGTACTCTTCATTGCAAAAAATGTAAGGAAAAAAAATGAGTGAGAAATAATTTTGCCATATATTATTTATCATTATCAATTTCTATTAGTGAATTTCAATTTCTAACTTCCATGTTGTACTTTTGACAGTGGACGCTTAGAGGACTATGCGTTGGTAAGTGTTCCAATGATCTTTACGTAGGAACTAAAGTTTATATCAGATCACTTTCGTTGCTCTCAATATTGACATTCACCAATTAAATACCTCAGGGTTTATTATTTTCCTTGCGGTGGTTTGGGTTCTACAAGAAACGACTACAGTTCGCATACTTCGTTATGTCATACTTTTCATTGGTATATATCTTTCCTGTGATAGCCGTTTTATTTCTGTGAATGAATTATTATTTATCATTTATCAAGCTGCATGTCTTTTCCTTACTGGATATAGAAGGGCTGCTTACTTTTGCATTGATGTTTTGTAGGTGTGATGAACAGTTTGTTTTCGGTTTACGGTACATCAAAATCTCTCTATCAATATAACAACATTACTAGAAAGCTAAAATTTTAGTGCTTAAAAATCATATGATTTATCGTAAACCATGCAGATATTTATGATGATTTGATTTCACGGAGAGTCAATTCGAGCGATGCTGAGAAGTTTGCAGAACTATGTCCATGCCCTTGTAATGGAATTGGATGGGGAGTCATTTGGTAACATCTCAATCTTTTATGGATAACATTCACAGACCTAGATACCTAAATATGCACAAGAAATGATGGGAAATGGGATATTTTCTAAAAAAGTATTTTTTGAGTTTAATAGTATTGTTTTTTTATTTTGGATCATATCATTATGAAAGATTAGTATGTCAACATGCCTCGAGATTGCTTATAGTTCCCTACTCGTCTATCTCCTGATTTGAATGATCATTTTTGCAGGGGAATGATATCATTTATCTTCCTATGTGCATCTATCTACCTCAGTCTTGTCATCCTATCTTAAGGTACATCAAAGTCTTCAGCCTATTGATTTCAACTCTCTCAATCATGATCTTAACATTCAATATCCCGATTCACATTCATGATCGTACTTGTAAAATAAACTTGCAGTTTCAATAATTGGTTGCAAAATCCACATCACTTTCCTAGTTCAACCAAATTTTATGAACTAAATTAAATGTCAATGTTAAAAATTTAATGGGCATGGTATCACAAAGGTTAGCTCTTGAGATTAATAAATGTTTAAGAAATGTTTCTTTTTAGTTCAACATATAGGATGAGAGTTGAAACTTCTGAAAATATTATACACTTCAAACAAGAATATTCACCATTTTAATTTAAACTTCAATTGCATTTTCAGGTTCAAAATTTGAGTTCTGATTGTTGGTGGACACTTCAGGTCAAACTTCTCCCTTTTGTACCCTTTGGAGAAACCTCAGCTCATTTGTTCTAACCATGCGGACTTCCAGCCTTGAAATTTTACATATTTTATGTACAAAATTCAAGTAACATATTCTTTATTCCATTGTTTTTCAAAATTAAATTACTGGATACATCTGCAGTCGTGCAGTGTCTGATTGTTTGTTATTTGAATTTTGGTTAAATTACAATTCTAATTAGGCTTTTATTATTGATTTGGTCACAGTTCTTAAAGTTTTTAACTTATCTTTTATCCTTAGTTTATAAGCAACAAGATCCTCTTTAGACCAGTAAAGAACTATCTGTAAATAAATATTTTGGCAACATATGTGAGAGTTGTTCCCTACCGTGAAGCTACAAACACTAAATACACTTAGAAAATAACCTTCTACTGTAGCTGTGAACAAAGCTTCAGTGTGCTAAGAACGCGTCAACCTTACCATTTGTAGTCCTTGAAAGAAACTTCATGCAAATAGGAGGCTTAACTCCAGCCAGAGCAAGGATGGAGCTGGGCAGTGTCCATATTCCATCTCCACATATCAGACCCGATGCCACCGCAGGTGCCAAAGCCTCGGCCTTGGCCTTGTTTATCTTTTCCCACACAAACAATATCAGGCTTCCAAGGCACATGTCAATGGCGAAATATGAGCCTATATAGAACGGAATCGCCATTGCCATTGGTATCGGGATAAACTGTCTGATCTTCTTCCCTGACAAGTCTCTTATCAAATTTATCACGACGGCCGCTGCAAAAAACCCATAGCATAGGGTGAGACAGTTCTTTGGGAGGCTAGAGAAGCCCTCGACTGCAAGAAGAGCCATGTTACGGTAGACTGTTGCATAAGGCGCTGGATAAGTACTATCGGGTTGTCCAAGGTCATCAAATGCCTTGTAGAACAGCCAAAACACACAAGGAGATATGACGCATCCCATGGCAGTGCCTATTACCTGGCTCACGAACATAGACCGTGGTGAAGATAGTGTCATGTATCCAGTCTTGAAATCCTGCATCAGATCTGATGCTGTAGAGACAATGTTCATCATTACTCCGCAAGCTGCTAAGCCTGCAACGACTCCACCATGCGAAGCACCAGCCCATGCTCCGATCGTGAAGATGGCAAGCTTTCCATAGGTAGATGCAAGGGACCAATCCGTCAACCCAGTACCATAAGCATTGCAGAAAGCTAGCACTGGTGCAATCACGTAGATGACAAGTATGTAATACCATTTCAGCTGAGAAAAGATATGTGGCAATGTGGCTATGGATACGGCTGCAATCACAGCATATCCTCCAACGGAAAACCAGGAGGGAATCTGATCTTTGAGGAAGAGTTGAGTCCTCCGTTTGTCATCGAACGTAACGTCGGAGGTCGAAGGAGAGGAAGCATCCGAGACTGGGATTACATCTTTCTTTTTCAACTGGCGGTGCAAACCTGTAAGAGTTGTTGACAACACCTTTACAAAGTTGTAACACCCATCACCCAGAATCAAGGCAATGGAGATAAACACCTAAAGCCACAAACAGAATTACTAAGAACATTAATTATACGAGGTTTCAGAAATCTAAGGCAGCTGGAAGTATTTTTTTTACCTTGTAGCCTTGAAGGCCATGAAAGCTGTTGGGGGAAAGCTCAGCACTGTACCAATCTCCTTTTCTTTTCTCGATGAGAGGCCACATTAATCCCCATGAAAGAATTCCTCCAAGCAACACAGATATGTTAATGATGTACGGACAAATCATTCCTACTCCAACATATGTTGCAGAGAAATCGAAATAAAATCTGCAGCAAGAAATGTGTGTATTATGTTAATTAAAGCTGTCGAAGGGTGTATGAATTGATAGATAGGAGGGGGTATGTATAATAAGTGGTGTACTACCTGTATTGGTAAGCTTTGAGGCCAAATGTTGGGAAATTGACAAAACCACAGTCATCTCCCGCAGTGAAGAACCATTGGAAGAAGCCCCACAAGAAGCTGAAGGAGAAGAACTTTCCAAGCATTCTCACTTGCTTCCTGCAACGCACAGAATGCACCAAAAGCTATAAACCATACAAAAGATTGGTTCAAAAAGAGTGTCACTTGGGTATACAAAAGTAGTGTAAAGAGTCTCACTTGGCCAACTTTGCTCCTCGAGGAGTGTGGAAACTGTTGATGAGATGTGATGTGGCTGTACCACTTGGATAGGTCAACTTGAAATCTATGATCATTATCTGAAACATTCAAAAATGAAAGCAAGCCATGTGGGTCCTCCCTGAATGCTAAAACTTCTCTTTTAAATTTGAATATACCTTTCTTAGAGGCACCACCGAGAAGAGGCCGATGAAGCTGACGATGAAAAGGAAACCAACAATCCATCCTAATGAAGGGTTCTTGAAGTCATTCACATCCGCCGATGCTAGGTTGCTGATGCGCTGACTCAGTCCAAATAGATAGCTCCCAAAGCCTCCTGTTCAATTCTCCAACAACATCAAATACACATCAACACTCGCATCAAATGCTTAATAATGTTAAGATTCTCTATTCAAATAGGTTCATACTTTCCACTATTCTTCTTGAAATATTCATTAATATCAAATGCTTAATAATGCACTAAAAAGGATCAATATTGATTTTGTAAGCTCCAGATGTTTCTTATACACTTCAGTTTCCTGGTTGTTACAGGTAAAGCCAAGAGAAACGGCCTAAATATTTGCGTCCTTTTGTACCGCTGAGGCCAGCAAATGTGTTCCACCCGAATAGGGTGATGTTTGGCAGCTCGACTATTTTCTTTAGAGGAAAAAGAAAAACTTGTTTTTTTCTTTCTAGAAGTCTTTTTTCGCGGCTGCTGCTTCAATATCTTACTCACCATGACTAGAAGATTCCTCCAGGAAAAAGCTAACAAAAATATTCTTTTATAAAGAGAATATTTTATATAAAGCAAGCCAACTGTTCATTGATCTATCTGGTTTCAGCTTTATCTGTTAAAAGTATTCAGCTAATCCCGAGATATCAAGAGAAAAAGAAAAATAAAGAACACCGTGCAGTACTTTGCAGAGTTTCCGCAAAACGAGGTAGGCAGCTTTCCCAAAAATAATTCATGGATTTTTTTTTTTCAGTTACGTCCTTATGGTTCCGTAAATAAATAATAAAAGGTTAAATTCATTTTTCACACCATCCGAAGATAGATTTGTACTATTACAAATGGTATCAAAATCGGAGGGTGAATGGTGAGATCTCACTTTCGTAATAGACTAAGCTAACAATATCTGAAGTGTGACTTCAATCTCACTTCAGCGTCAACCATAGATACAGGCTGTAAAAATTGTTTTCTAGTGTGATTTTCTTTTATTTTTAATTTTAAAATTTCTATCTTTTCAAAATTAATTGATAATAGATATTATATATATGTAGTAAAAAATAGATAATATAAATACATGGTAATTTGCATTTTTCTAACAAAAGAACATATTCAAAACATTAAGGAAACAATTTTTTAATTTTTTAATTTTTTAATTTCAAGACCTTTAACATCAGATCGTCAACATCTATGTTGAAACGAGAGATCATGTCACTTTCTTTTGGTTTAATATTTAAATTTTAAAGCTAATATTTTTTTTTAGCGTTTTTGTAGTTACCGGAGGGGTATTATTAAAATGGAGGTCAATATCCTATAAATATTTCAATATGAATTCCATTAGCCCTTAAAAAAAATAATTTATTACTACTGATTTGGTATTTTTTTTAATACGATTATTTAAAAAATTGTATTTGTATTGTCGAAGTCAACTGGCCGTTTAAGCACTTAGAATAATTTTTAAAAAATTAATTAAACAGTAAGTTGTATTAAATAATATTTCCAAAAAATAAAGATAGATAACTATGAAATTTTTCTGAAAAAAAAAAAAAAAAGAAGAAATCAATTTGTGTTCAAGAAGTTGATCAAATCGAAACCCTAAGGAGTAGGAAAAAGAAAAGCGGAGGTAAGATCGAAGGTACATACCGCTGAAGGCGATGCCGGAGGAAGCGACAACACAAGTCTGAATCACGGTGTTCTCCTGGCGAGTGAAAGGCTGCTTCAGGAAACCGGATTTCTCCAGAAATTTGGTCCATGTCTTCACGAAGAAGAAGCCGAGAAGTCCGGCGGAGACACTGAGCGAAGGAATAATACCGGTGGTCAAGTTAAGCTTCATGACGATGAAAGTGAACAAGACGCTCAGTACAAAGCTCACAACGAACGCTCTCACCGTCAGCTGTTTGCGCCACGACGGAACTTCTTGCGCTTCGAAAATCTTCTCCACCGACATCAATTCCTCCGCCATTAATCCTTCATCACCTCTATCTCTCTTGGCCTTCTGGTTTGGATCCAACTCGCCGTACTTCTCCTCCGCCTCCTCCTCCTCGAAACCTCTCTCTCTCCCGTTCCGATCCATCTGAGAGTGAAAGGGATGAAGGTGAAGATAGTGGATCTGGCAATTGGTTCGGGTATTTATGAAGATTCTACCGCCAATTCCTTAAATTAGGGCATTAGACAGGCTGTTAATGGTGGGGCCATGGCAGTGGAAACGGGAAGAGTGTTATGGAAATAAGATGGTGGTGGGGAAGGGAAGAGAAAGCGACGAAAATGGTGATGATGATGCAGAAAAGCGTTGACTTGGAAATGGAATATGAAACAGACGCCAAAGCAGCGATGATTTGAGGATTGATTTGGAATTTTGGACAATTAAAAATTGGGGGAAACACATTTATCTTTTCACTCCAAATCTTTGACTGTTTCCACCCTTTTTAAAAGATATATATTCTAATTGCACATTTATGGATTAACACTATATTATTACAAGATAAGTTATAATCTTTGTTCCAGGAAAAAGAAACTTTGGGATGCCAATTTCATTAAAATAAAAACATGTTGAGGGCTGAAAAGGAATGGATTAACATTACATGTAAGAGATATGATTATGGTTTCAAAGTCTGACTTTCATTCAACTATGCTTATAATTATTTTATAGAGTAAATTAGAACAATTGAAAGCAAACAAACTAAAATGAAATGATTTTTCAATTTTCTTAAAAAAGAAAGAAAAAGGAAGCCAAGGTGGATGCGTGGGTCGTGACGAAACATATGAATTGGTTTTGGCATTTTGCGGAAGTGGGAACAAAAGGGAGTGTGCGCCAGAGATGGAAAGGCTATCATTTTCTGATTATTTAATATATATAATTTATGCTCCTAAAAAAATGACTATTTTATGATACAGATATTTTTAATCATCAATATCAAATTTGTATCAAGTTCTTAAAAGGGTGGCTATAAATCTTTGTTTGATGCATTAAAAAAAATCAGAACAAGTAGCAAAGCAAGTAGTTATAAAACACAATTTGATGGGTCTCCATCTCATGCGTCATGCCCCCAGTTTTCAAATTTGGCTGCTAGCTTAGGCGATGGACGGACCACCAAATGGAGAAGATGAAGTATATGATAAATAATGTCGTAAGAGATGAGCAACGCAAAGGATTATTGTGCTACACCAGACAATGGTACTTAAATCTAATAGATAAAGAAGAGGTCAAACCGCTCTAGAGCTTTTCCTATAGAGATTGAAGATTTGACAATAAAATGAATATAAGGTTTACAATAGATACTCGAGATAACTTAGTCGAAAAAATGATCCATCTCCGATGAAAACTAGATTAAATAAGAAAGATACGTTCATAAAATACGAGCAAATCTCTTTAGAAGAATGTTAGGATTGCACAACAATGCACACTCGATCTAGATAAACACAAATAACAGGATAGAGAAAATGTAAGAAAAAACTTCACGTATGTACGAAAGAATACATATATATATATAGTTTTAACATATATAACCATCTGCTATATATAACTATCTACTGTATATAGTTTTAACATATATAAACAGGCTACATAACTACCGTCTACCTAAGTGAACCAGCCTATTATATCATTAAACCTCCTTCCTAATCAAGAGAGACCAAAAAGTGAACCAGCCTAGGTGGGTTTAGCCCAAACAAGTTCACCTAAGTGAGTTGTATGGCTATGTGACCAAAGCCAGTTGACACCCAGCTAACTCGTAGCTCAACCCAATGAAACTAAAACTAAAGTCACTCGACCCAAGTGGGTGGTAGCCTATTACGTCATGTCAAAACCCTATCCTCATATAAAACTATATCGGCAACAGTGTGCCACTCGCCATCTTCTACCACAGGGCTAACCTGTTCATAACAAGTCAGAGATGAGCACCCTATTATAACAAGATACCTGTTGACCAATCAAGTCCCTCATCCACCAGCACATTTGTTCAGTCTAATACAGAACAAATCCAACCAATAACAATATAAACAATCAGACTTGATTCAACCAGATGAGTTAGTTTTCCAGACTCTAAGCATTACATTAATAAATGAAGTTAAATTACAAACTATTACTATGTGCAAAATCCATTTAGTTGTGTCGTCAGAACTTAAGGAGCACACGAGGATGCAAGATTTCCTCATAGGCCTTAATGGGAAGCATAACTTCCTTGAAGATTTGTTAGCACAAATAGGTGAAGTAAGACTAGTATTACACAGCTCTATGGCCTAGAAACTGGTGCCATCGGCATTGATGAAGACTGATTATAGAAATTGGCATCTGAACCCTGAAAACTCTGGTAAGAATTTGTGGGTATTGTAAAAGGAGACATCCCAGTCACTGGGGCACCTACATTCGGATAGCCAGGTTTCGCCAGTGGTGGCAATGATTGTGTCATACTGTAACTGAAAGGCATGCTACTTACTGACCCAACATTCTGTGTGAACTGCACTGCAGGAGGTAACGGAGGGATGGGCGGGGGAGATGATGATGGGGGAGGAGGAGGGTATTGTTGACTGGTCGATGAGGCATTACGTTGGAGAGACTCCGGGTGTGGGAAGGAATCGACGGGTGGCTGCTGTGGATTCGGAGGCAATACGTAGGGTGACTGGTCATTTTCAAGTTTGGCCCTCTTCTCAGATGGATAATCACAAGATAACTCTTTATTTGGATTTCCAATTACACCCTCCGATGCCAGGGAAGATAGGACGTAAGAGAGCATCTGAACCGAGGATGTCGATGCAGTTAGCTTTGCTGCCACTGCAGCAGCAGCAGACTTGCGGGGATCTTCCTCAATAGGTGCAGGTTTTGCAGGAAAAGGTAATGAGGCTGCATACATTACTGGCGCTGATTGTTCTATCTCCCTCGGTACAAGGCCGTGTGGTGCTATTGAGGACTGAGCATCTTTGGAGGCCCCCTCAGTCATAGGTTGCACACTTTCACCGTTTAGAAATTGAGGGCAGAGATTCTGAGTTTGTTCCGACCGGGACTGGGAAGCCTGTCAAAATACATACAAGTAAGAAGAGATGACTTGAAACATGTCTGGCAATGCTACTAATTCTTAGGTTTCACCTGGCAACAGAGATGTTGACCTACCAAATACATAAGAAAAATGGAAAGTCGAGCTAAAAAGGATATTCAGTGGAGCTTTGTCTAATTCCCATTTCATTACTTCACTTAAACTCAGTTTTTTCCCCACACCCAAAAATAACAACAATAACTACTTCAAACCTTGATGCATTGGATGTTTTATTTCGGTTCGAAAACTCTGATTCAACGGCATCAATTTGGCAGCTGTACTGTAGGATGATTGGAGGGGGGAAAAAGGTAAGTCATCAAGAACGTTGGCATCTGCAGAAGAAATTGTTTACTAGCCTATTTTCAAAAGTAGATCTCATTGGTTGGAGAAGAGAATGAAACATTCTTTATAAGGGTGTAGAAACCTCTCTCTAGCAAACATGCTTTAAAAACCTTAAGGGGAAGCCCGAAAGAGAAAGCCCAAAGAAGACAATATCTACTAGTGGTAGGCTATGGCTGTTACCAAGGGTATTTGGGCTATGGTACCCAAAACCAACCCATGCTTGCCAGACTTCTTAACTACTCAACTAACATGTTCAGAAACACAAATATCAGAAGATCCAGTTGCTGGGAAAAGACTATTAAAAAAGGAACTCCAATCCATTTTTTAAAAAAAGGAAATCGTGATTACAAAACACATACTGTGGGGCGCACCCTAAGTGAAGGCACTATACAGTGCTAATTCACAAAAGGATTCGATGGGTTTAACTTTATCTTGGAAAACCCATGATTTCTTTCCATCCAATATTAAAAGTTTCCAGCAGAAAGGACCAAACTCTAACAGAAATATTACAATGCAGGAACCAAAGGTCGAACACTTTTCTCTTTTTTACGCCACATACAGTAAGCATTTCGAACTTTAGAGCTTTTCCATGAATGTCAGAGCTTCTATGTGAAACCTACCAACCAAATAAAGTTACCTTCTTTCCACTTTTCCTTCCCAGATATGTTCAACTAAAGGCACCAACATAGCTTTGGACAAACAGAGAAACTAATGAAGCAAGTTGATTTGGAGGGAAGGAATATGGTTCAATTTTGCAATATTCTAATTTGTTGCAACCTCACCCTTTCATCTCAAGGAGTATGCCTGGGCCGAGACATCCTCTTGGTCCATGTTTAGGACAACGAGAGCTAATTTAGACAGACATACAGCGAGTCCGAAAGGTTTTAAAGAAAGATCAACAGAGCTTTCGCAAATTTTCCAACATTTTGTTCTCATTAACGCAAAAAATAATTGTGTTGTCCGAATACTTCTGAAAGTTGCTCTCATTGGCTTAATGTATATTAATTTTCCAACAATTAATATACATTAAGCCAATGACACGTCATGGGTTAGCTTGACTATTTCAGCTAAAAACAAAAAACCAGAATTATACGATTGGTTTCTTAATTTTTGAAAAACAGAGTTGTTTGGTAACTAATTCAATTCTTTTTTAAAAAACTATATAAAATAAATATATTAACAGATTTCTTGACTCATTATCATCCTATGAGAAACTAACTTCTCCTTTTTATTTTTCTTCTTCTTTAAGCTAAGCATAAGGCTCTTTGTAACACTTACACAGTTGCTCTCCAATCCATTAAACAGGGAATGAATCAATTAGCAGGATCTTCATCAACTCTAATGCAGTAAAATAGAGGCTTCATAACTAAATTCATGCAATCTTGGGAAGGTACATACAAGGAATCCCTACATAATTTACATCAACTCGCTCATGTTGAATATGGTTCATCCGACACAAATATGAAAAGCCCATGCCATGGGATCACATTCCCTAGCTTTATCAAGGTTTGGTTTATGAATTTTAAAACGGAAACGAATGACCGGGGATGACATGTAAAAATTGAACCAAACCCACAAAACAACGGAGCTTTCATATTATAGGGTCAATCTAAAGCAATTAATCAGAAAAACAAAAAAGAAACTGCGAGTCCATACTCCAAGGAATTGTGAAACAGAAATGCAAACCTGAAGTTGATTTCTGACTCGCTCCAATTTGAATTCCTGAACATAAGAAATTTATATTTAAAGATACAGTTTTAAGGTTTACTTCGAATAATTGTGACCTTAATTTTTCTCCAACAAAGATGTCAAAATACCTGTTCTTGAAGAGCCTCTCTCAGATGAGACACGAGACTCGCCCTTGATGTTTCAATTGCTCTTAGTTGTTCAACGCAGTCCCTCAAAATGGTATGATGTCCCCGCAGATCCTCGGCAATTGAAGTTCCATGGTATTGCCCTGTGTAGTTAAAAAAAACTATAAAGCTCCTCCAAAAACGTCTCAACATAATTGAGAACAAGGATCTCTTGGGAATACACAACACACGAAATTTGCATCATAACTAAGGAGTAAAACCACATAAGAGAAAAGAATGTTCAACAATTTGTAGGCCCCTGTGATAAGAAGGCACTAAAACCTTTTTCCGATAATTCACGTGCTTAGTTCTTCAAAAACCAAATTTTTCATTCTTTTTTTCCAAAAACCTTTTTTCTTTTTTGGCGATCTGAGTCTGGGGTGGTCGGATGTCAGGTGGAGGTGGAGGTGGAGGTGGAGGTGGAGGGGAAAACATGAAAACAGTGCACCAAAGGTTATTTAGTTCCTCAACTTCAGAACGAATTGTTTCCCAATCCAAAAAGTTGTACAACATAACAGGAGAGAAATCATACAATACAGAATATGCAGTAAAAATAATTAAGAACAAATAACCTAAAATAATCGACAATGTACAAGCTGAAGTACCTGAATTGACATCAGCGCCAATTTGTTTGTCCAGTTTCTCAAGATAGTTAATAGAATTGCTGCATCTGCTTAGTAATACATCTTCATTTACCTCACTTCCGAAAACAACTTGGTAACCAGAAACTATTTTATCCAATGACTCGCTGGCTGATTGTTTCTGTTGAAAAGAATAATGAAATAGGTGACTACTCGGCCAGACTATTTATGAACATAACTCGGAATTCATGATGGAAGAGCAATATTTTTACCAGTTTAACGCTGACTTGCTTCCCATTTCGGTTACCAGTTTCCGTATGCTTTCCCATCATCTCTTCCTTAAGACTCTCCCCTCGAGATCCAAAAACTTTTCTCTCCTCCCAAATGCCAATCTATGAGTAATATTAAAATGGGTCTAAATAAAACACATATACGTATGCTAGCAGAGTCTAGAAAAAAAACAAAGGAGTCAGCGTTAAATACACAAGGTTAAGAGGAATGACAATTAAAAAAGTTTAAGGCTGCAATCAAACAAAGAGCTCCAACAGAAAAACTACAAGACGACATTACAATTGTTGATAATAAAAAACAAAGGAGGGTCAAAAAGAAGCTCGATCAAATAGGCCCGAAGAATTTTTAATGACCGACACTCATAATAAGGGATGAAGGCATTCTACTCTGAGGATTTTGTATTCCAGTTTGGCTCAGCTCAATGATAGAATTCTAGGTTCATAACAATTAATAACTTTTGACTTCTTTCAGCACATATGCAACCAATCTTCACCCTAAAACATAATCCATGTCGAAAAAACTCACAAAAGATTTTTGCATCACAAGCGCTTCTCAGGGCTTTGATAGGGGTACAAAATAAAATATGGAAATTAATTTAAACATCTAAGAAACAGCGCTAACATTGGATGAGCATGCCTTTTGTAATACATGTAGGGATTCCATATAACTCAAAAATCTCGAATGCCAAGTATCTAATTAAATATTTTCTTAGGGACAGTAATATACAAGATAAAATTTAAGCATGAGTAAGAAATTTTGACAAAGGATAAGGATGCATAGTAAGCATTGATGTACCAGTCGTAGGGCAGCGTTTGTTCCAAAATCATCCCCATTCTCAATTACATCACGAAGGGCATCAGGAAGGACTTTCCAAAATTCACCAACAAACTCCGAGCCCTTTCGCCTACTGTTCTGCAGAATGTCATTTGCAAGATACAGATAGGCCAATCTCTGGTCGCGTGGAGAAAAATGAAACTGTTTATCCCATGTTTCTACAACTTGCTTGGCTTTGTTCATGTGAAATATACACCAATGGGACAAAGCTTAATCACATTAAGGATGGAACCAATTTTGATAAATAAAACAAGGGTATTAAACCTATCAACATTCATGACATAAGGAAAAAGAAAAGTAATTTAGCCAAAAGAAGAGTAATCATATAGCATAACTTGGACAAAACAGAGTAAAAATTTCAAAAAGGATACTCTCGATGCTCGCCTGTGAGTTGTTGAGCCTGGCTAGCTTGTCCACCAAAATATGTGGATTGAAAGTACCAGCCATTGATTTGGATTTTTTGCAGAAACGACGTAGAACAATGCAGCCTAATCTGTGTAATGGGCTAATGGTTAAAGAAAAGGGAACAAAACAAAGTACGAGAAAACATATGATTAAAAGCAAGAAGAAAAATGTAAGAAGAATCACAAGCAAATTATGTCCCCCATAAAACTACAATTCCAGAGCTCAACAGCACAGACAAGGTAGAAGAAGAAACGAAATATACCTGAAAAAAGGAATGCGAGTAAGCGAGAAGGCGACTAAAAGGGGGCGAAATTGGGGCGTTGGAGGCCTTCCTCCATGGAAGAGAGGAGGGGAATTACAGAAGGGTTTGTGAAAATAGTGAGCAAAGAGGCAGGAAGTGGAAGCGGGGAATTTGGAATCAGGGGGTGGTGGCTCACCGGATAAGATCGCCGCTAGAGTTTGGTGCGCACACGGGTGTGGGAAGGAAGTGGAAGTGGAAGTGGAAGTGGCAGTGGGAACTGATTTGCTTGGGCTTTGCGTTGCGATTATGAATGAGGTCTGGATTTGGCGCCGCTACTTGGGCGCGCCACCTCTTCTTCCCGCGCCTCCTTTATTCCCCTCTTAAATTTCACCTTTTTTTTTTTCTCTCCTTTTCTTTTTTTTCATAAGTTTTACTATATATATATATATATATATATATATATATATATATATATATGAAAATTAAAAGAAATAAAAATAGAAAGGGAAGCTCAGATCATATGATCGGAACCACATAAAATCAATTCAACACACATTGATATGAAATTAATTTATTTTTTAAATTTATTACCGACCGACAACTTAATCAAACTACCTTCCACCCCACCCCATTTTAATTTATTTTTTTCTTTTTTTATTTAATTTAATATGTTTAAAAGACACTGCCAAAACAAAGTTTTAGTATATGTTTAACTTTGTTAATTCAACTAATTTTCGTATTTAAGAAATTAAATCAAGACTTTTTAATAAAGAGGTTTTTATTAATTATGTTATTATTACTATTTACTGTTTTGTTTTAATGAAATAATTTAGTGGTTTTTGATTCTGACAACTCTGCAGATCAATGTACAGTGTGCTAGGGCACTCTCTTCCCCTTCACTCCACGACGAAGACCACCAGCCTACTTGAAGCTGCCATTGCGAGATTGGTGCCTTCATTTTCTCTTCTTCTTTCCTCTCTTTTTCTTTCTTTCTTCCAATCATGAACTAGATTCCACTGTTTTTTCTCCAATCTTTCTGCACAATCATGCAGACACGCCGTACATGAGTTTCGTGAGTTTCTCCATCTTTTCCTGGATCTATTTAAATCAAGATTTCTATTTTGTTTTTTGCACGATGTTTTCTCTAGTTGTTGCTGCTGCTTCTGTGTTAGTTTCTTACATTTCAATCGCTTGGATGTGTTTGGTTGTTACCTTGTTCTTGGATAATGGATTTGTTTCTCATTTTTTCGCTCCCGTGGAAATCTGTGGAGATTCAATTATGAATACAATGATATTTGCTATGATAATACGGCCAAGTAGCGACATTAATGTTAACTCTCCTCATTATTGCGCTGTCCTTTTCCCAATCCTCCGATGTTTTCTATTTGTCTTTGTGAGTATTTTCCACAAGTAGTAGTTGACTAGACCTGTCTAAATGAGATTGGTTTTCCTCCTGGACAAGGCTAAACTATGAAGCAAGAAGAATCAGACCTTTGATTTTAGAGGGAACTGTTTGGGGAAATTGTTAAGGAACTGAGAAGAGCTCCAATCTTTGCCGTGTTCTAGCAGTAAATGAATGAATGAAAAATATCCTCTTGGCTATCATATTTTCTAAAGAACTTAGAATTCAAAATGACCTTCACATTTTTTTATCCTACTCCTTGAATGTAGGAATCTCTTGACGCTATCATGTTTCGTGTATGTCTTTGTGTACGAGTGTTTGTATAATAGACTTCTATACAGTGAAAGAACTGCAAGAAATTTAGTCCTTGGAGAGCCATGGTTTCTTGCAGGGTATGCCTAATTGATTTTCTTGGCTCAAGCTTTTGGCTGTGCTACAGGAGTGAGCAAAGAGATTAAAGTCTTTGGTTTATCCTCTGTTGTAAGTGGTAGTGGGCATCATTCTAGACTTTCCAGTGCTATGAAAGAGATTAAAGTCAGAAGTGGTTCTAATGCAGATCCTGATCTGTTGAATGATGAAACACATGCACAGCAATTGACTTCTGCAAATCAGAGCTGTTCATCATCAAATGTGCAGTGCACCCCTGAAATTGAAAAGAAATATGTGCATCGTGTTTATGATGCCATTGCTCCCCATTTTAGTTCAACTCGGTTTGCAAAGTGGCCAAAAGTTGCATCCTTTTTATCATCGTTACCTCTAGGGTCCCTCGTCCTGGATGCTGGCTGTGGTAATGGAAAGTACTTGGGTTTTAATCCCAACTGCTTTTTCATTGGATGTGATATTAGTGCCCAACTTATCAAAATTTGTGATGAGAGGGGACATGAAGTTTTGGTGGCTGATGCAGTAAATCTTCCTTACAGAACTGGTTTTGGCGATGCAGCGATCTCTATAGCTGTATTACATCATCTAAGTACTGAAAACAGGAGGAGGAAAGCAATCGAAGAATTAATACGTGTTGTCAAAAAAGGTGGCCTAGTTTTAATAACAGTCTGGGCTGTTGAACAAGAGGATAAATCTTTATTGACGAAATGGATGCCACTTTCAGAGAAGTATGTTGATGAGTGGGTTGGACCAGGTAGTCCACGTGTTCGTAGTCCATCGTCGTTGGCACTTGAAAGCATTCCTGAAATGAATGAAAATCATTCAGGTGTTTCCCTAAAGGATTCCAAGGAAAACTTCACTGGAAGCAAGCCAGAAAATAAACCTCTACCCTCTCGGAGTGGAAATGATTTTATGAATTGTAATGATGAAAACTTATTGAAGATCCAGCAAGAATATTTTGTCCCATGGCACTTACCTTATCATCGTGCAGAAGTCAGTGGGTCGTCTGCCAGTGCCCTTGCTAGTGGTTTGGCAAAGAAGGATGATAAGAAAGCTGCTGTTGTGTATAACAGATACTATCATGTTTTCAGTGAAGGCGAGCTTGAAAGGTATTCCTCTCTCTCATTTCTCTTGTATGGTTTCTTCTTTCTTGGCTTCTTTTACTTATTGGATATGGGGGGGAGGCTGTTCTTTAGTTGTGACTAGGCTGTTCTAGATCTATGTGTTGAAGTGTGTCTCTATTAGCAGTAACCTTTCAACTACTTCTAGTTCCATTAATGTGTGATAATGTGAAAAGTGATGACCATGGTCGTTCCCGAGCTTGCAACATTTCATCTTTTGACTCGAGATACCATGACTATGTAGAAATAGGGAACACGGTATATATCATGCACTTCACGACAACATTTCTACATACATCTTTCTTGGCCTTTTGACTAAGATTAAGAGATATCTACATTTCTACATAATGATTTGTTCTGTTACTGCTTGATCATCTTGGGTGCATTTGTAGGTTGGTGTCTGGTATGGACGACGCGGTAGTGGTCGATCGATTTTATGACAAATCAAACTGGTGTGTAGTTCTTGAGAAAACAGTGTGAGGAATGAAATGAGGTATTATGAAGATGATTCAATCTTGCCTGCTTGTTGTGCCCACTCAAACCGTGCTGAAGGTGGTCTATGGAGTTGTATCACTGTTGCTATCTCGGCTTTGTTTTTGTCGTCCAGTCATAGTTTGGGGGTAGCAATCTCTGCAGGCTCTTTAGCCAAAAAAAATGCTGTCACTGTTAAGGATTTACGATTGTGTATTATGATTAATAAGGCGGTGGATTGCCCTTTGATTCAGTTCTAAATTGTTTGTGTTGAAAAGGTTGGGCTTCTATCTGCTATCCCTTGAATAAATCATTGATATTATACGGTTTTAGGCTCAGGTTCTCGATCAAGCATTTATTGATTTAGAAAACTTGCCGACTGTAATTTGTTAAATGAGGTTGGACAGCCGAGTTTGAAAGCCTCGAAAAACTCACCGACTGTATTTGGAAATGGCTCCGACAATTTCCTGGTTTTTAGTAGATTCAGACGACCATCACAATAAATGTAGACGGATTAACAAATTTACATGCCTCTAATAATACCACCGGATTTACATTTGAAGTTATTTTTATAATTATTGTCCTTAATTCAAATTGTGGTTTAATTATAAATATATATATAGATAAACAAAATAATAATAGTAATAATAACTAAATCCAATCAAACTGTCAGAAGATATCAAATCCAAATAATGAAATGAACAAAATCTACCCTAACGAACTTGACAAATTATCATGAGGTCTTATATTTAGAAAATTGAATGGTAATGTGCACAACCTACTCTAACAAACTCGACTAATTATCACGAGATCTTATACTTAGAAAATATGTGTTGAACAAAAAAAACTGAAAGAGATCTATAATCAAGTACAATTTGCACAATATAGCAGTAATTGACATGCATTTTTGGCCAATAGGTCAATGGTACAAATGTCTCGCTATTCCCAAATGGTATTGAACTAAAAAGAAATGCACATTACAATTGGATGCACAATTACATGGTACTAAGGAAAACACCAACAGATGCTTTCAAGGAATTCCGAATGAAGTAAACTGTAGAATGTTGGTTTTACCTTGTAGACAAAACAGTTTATTGCCTTACCTGCAATGTTAAAAGTTCAAACCCCAATCGTATGCTTGATAAAATACCTTCAACTGAGAACTGTCAAGCAATTCAAGCAGCGCTTGTGAATCATCTGGTTTCAAGTAGTTTGCTACATGCTTCATGACTTCTTGCTCGTTCTTTCCAAAGTCGGTGCTAAACCTGAGCAAAGAAAAATATTATAACAATAAAAAAATTAAAAAAAAAAAACATCACTAAACTGTCTAATGCCTTGGATGTAATGTTTTAAATATATTCCACCAACACGTATGGTTGATTCCTAAACTCTGGCTTACATGAAAACAATAAACTGCGTTTTGAACAGTATTTAAAAGAACTACGAGCTGATTTCTGTAAGGCCAAGTAAAGTTGGGAAAGCTCAAGTTATCATAAACATATGGCTAAAACAATTTCAATTATCCATGATATTAGGGGGTATGATTCATGGGAAGTTGTACATCTCCAATGCAAGCTCCATGAGATGTCAAAGAGTACTGTTTTATAGATTTCCATCCAAAAGATTAAACCAAGGCCTCGGTACAATACTGTTCAATGCCCAACGATCTACGTACTACCAGGTTTCCTATAAATATCCAAGAGAGTTCTTCCAAGATATATAATATATACCTTCAAAATTTTCGCCACGAAAGAAATGATGACTGTCTGTGTAACTAAGGGAAGGAAGTAAGTCCACCTAAAGTAGGGGTGCTAAACGCAAATTCTATAACGCAATGATGGAAACTAAAATATTAGTAAATGTTTGCAAGAAAACAGGTGGTTTCTGAGGAACTATTTCTTTCTTACCATTTAAGAATCATATTAACTGATGCCACATTGTTATTCAAATCGAGGACAAGTCCTCCGTCTCTTAAGAAACTTCGAGCTGCTTCCATCAACTCTTGATCTACGTTCCCAGGAGAATAGCATCGAAGAGCAGGCCCAGATCGGGTACCAAAAACTAGTGCAAAATGAATTAAAGGCTCCACATACGGAAGAGAAACCTACAAAAAAAAAAAATAGAAACAATAAAGCCAGACTATAAAAAACTCTTCTGAAGAAACAATATGGGACCTAAAGCTCCTAGCGACAATTGTCCCACTTGTAAGATAAACAGGAAGAGAAACTGATAAGAATTATCCAGTTTGAGCCTATGATCAACCATCACAAAAGAACCAGATGATTGTACTTGAGTTACAACTTGTCTGCAAATAAAGGGCGTGGTCTCAAAATCTTAACAAAAAAAGATTCAAGCACATCAAACGTAGCTTCAGACTTTCATGGATAATTGGCACATACAATAAAACGATATATAAATTATACTATGAATATTTTTACGTCAGAATTCCATTCAATATAAAATTAGTATTAAAGATCAGAAGGGGGATGGTCTCACTTTAGAACGTTTATCTTTTGCACCAAATGGTTTCATGAGATTGTAAGGCGGTCTCTGATTGCCCCTCAAAATTCCATTTTGAATAGCTGAAAGGGAGTAGGTGGCCCCTCCAATAACATATTTGAAGTCTCCAAACAGTTTCCTTCTTTCCAGCGCCCCAACAGGAAGACCACATACCAATATTGCGTGGATGGCCATCATATTGTAGAGATTAATAAAGAAAGCAAGCTTCTCCTCCCGTGCCAAATTTTGTAGTTCAACTCTTTGGAGCTCCTGAACAATTCTCAAATACCTGTCAAAATATTACCCTTAAATCAAAATCCTTGCATGCAGAAAAAAAAAACTATATATACAGCAAAAAACTTGAATGTGCTTCTATCTCAATTTATTCAACGAACGAACCTAGCAAATTCCTCGCTCCCATGAATACTTATGTAATCTACATGCTTTCCATCCTCTGATACATAGGCTTCAAAAATGGCAAAGGATAAAAATCTCAATCTTGATGCAATATCTGTTATCGGCTTTGGCTTCACCTCAATAATACTTCTTGCAACGTTGTGACACTGATTTGCAACAACGGGATCATCCTCCAAGAACCGGTATAAGTGGCCACCATCTTCAAATAGATTTTCCCTGTAAACAGAATTATTAATGACAAATAAAATGAGTAGCAGCCACGGCACTGAAAGGAGAAGTCAAAGTAACTTACTCGAGAACATGTTGGAAGAAAAGTTCACTTGCGAGCTTTCGTCCAAATTCAATAGCCTGATCAATGCACCAAAATGATAAATTTAAAAGAAAAAAAAAATCAAAGACACATCAAGGATCAATTAAAGAGCAGAGCTACAGATTAGAAAAACATCAAAATAAAGATCGAAGCTATGCAGTTAATTAACACATTATTTTGCAGGAAAAAGAAAATCGGATTTACACCAGTATCATGGCTACTAGAAAAATATACAATATCCGTATTAGCTAATTTCTTCGTTCAATAAACGGAAAAGGATAGTATTTTAAAGCCCCACTCTCGTAAGGAATAAATTTACAAGAAAATTGGAATGAAAGTCTCCGCATATCAAAAGGTAATTTTCTTCGACGGTTGGAAAATTTTGAACATGAATGATCCGTATGTATTTCTTGGTTGTGAATGCATTCATTATAGATAACTCCAATATATCAAATAATAATACGAATGTGCCTAAACACCAAGAATCTGGGAAAACTACTAAGCTTCATAGAAATAATATTTCAAGTGATTCAACAAAAGATTTAAGTTTCTGCAGGAAAAACTACCATGCCTTAGTACCTAACTGCATTGTGCACTTGAGAGTGAGAGAGAAGTTATGAAACATGTTATTTCAAAGAGAAGTCTCATCTTCTAAAAAGACAACAAAGGTACAAAGTCCAACTCACCTCTTCCCTTTCCAAATATTGATCCTCTGACAAGAAGTCCACAGCTTCTGAGCCTAGGAAACAGTTGGTGAATCGTCGCATTTTGTAGAACCGGTCCTTAACAACAATAGATTCTTTCATTTTTCGAACAATCATAGCCGATTCATCAACAGTCCCACTATTGGAGACATCATCTTCACCAGGAAGAGGTGGTAAAGGGGCTTCAAGTGATGGTGCTTCAGCTTTCAGATAATCAATTTTCTCATCAAGCTTGCTCGACTCATCCAATTCTCTCAGTTCGTTCAAGCCTCCAATAAGGATTGAATTAAAAAATACCTTCGGAACGGCAGAAGACCCAGCAATATTCTCTAGCTCCAACTTTCTACCCGGATAAACATCAATATTGATCTCAACGTATCTAAGTCTCTTCCAAAACAAAAACAGTCGAGCCTCTTTGCATTCTCGACAGCCTAACCGTGTGTATAGAAGAATTCTGCCTTTCATTACAGCATCTAATTTTGATTCACCACCAACATCCTCCAACTGCTCAGTTTTGGTTTGTGCATCAGCATCACGCGACATCTTAATATAGTTGAGAGGATTCCATGCAGCAGATCTTTCCGAAGGTTTTTCAGGGATTTTATTGACTTCATTTTCTTTACTGGAAATGGACTCATCCTTAGTCTCGTCATTCGGAATATCCGGACATTCTTCATCTTTTTTTCCTGACAAACGACGTAAAACACTAGAGACTGCAACTACACCCTTTTCCTTAACAAAGTTTTTCAGTGTCAAAGCCCTATCAACAACACTTCGGCTCTCTGAATCACTATCCATGGAACGGTTTGACAAACTACCACTACCTTCGATCCCAGGAACCTCAGTCCCATCAAAGACTGGCTCTGGAGCTTTCTCCTCATCAATAACTTCTCCATTTGGTTCGTTTGCCCCCATTTGAGCCTTAGAATCTAAACCTTCACCATCATTGTTTGAATCATCTGATGACGATTTAGATTCTGCATTCTTATCCTCTTCTAGCTTTTCATTAGAGTCATCGCTTCTAATAATCTGGTCCGACTTTTCAACTACAGATTTAGACTGCAAATCTAACTTGGCTTCCGCCTCGAGTTTAAAATCACCTTCAACGTTCTCCCTCTCCACCACTTCATCTTGAGCCTCACATTTTAAATCGATGTTCTTATCCTTTGCTACTTCATCAAGTCCTTTTTGTGTAGTGCTATCCTCACTAACTGACAAGGACTGTTCAATCTCAACTGTAGACTCTCCTCCATCTTTCTGTTTAGGAAGGCCATGTTCCTCATCCCTTTTAGCAGTCGGTGAAGTTGCCATCGGTTCTTTTCAGTTTCAGTCGTACCTAGTAAAGAAAGTGTATCCGTACTCTCTCGGCACCTTTCAGATTTAGCATTCAAGAGCCTGCAAAACGTTT